ATGGAATTCAAGGTGGTTAGAGAGTAGAAAAATGCATGGTGGAAAGCAGAAAATTGGAAATGAAGCCTCCAACTATGTTTTTAAAACTAGATGCACAACACTGGCATCATCCTGTCAAAGCTATCAAAGAATGGAAAGCTATGAACCTTTGTGGCCTCTTTTGTTCTGAAAATCTCTCAGGAGATCCTGGAGGATGCCTAGTCGCTATGCATCCACCTATGGGAACACAGCTGGAGGCTTCTTTACCATTCCCTCCAGCTACAATATTGACATGGGGTGAGCTGTAGCAGCGAAAGATGGGTTGTGAGGAAGTTGGGGAAGCATTTAGTAATTCTGCCTGTGCAAAACTTTATAATACCTTTCCTCATCCAGTATCTTATACATATCTGTTTGTCAATTTTCAGATTCTATGCAAAAACTTTACTTTTCTTGCATAGAAAACAATGTGCACATTTTCACATTTTCCAGTATGTACATGTGTGCACATTTTGGACATACTTTCAAATCCCTGAAGTGCTTTCAAATTCCCCTTTAGAAGGAAAAAAAAAAGCATACACATGCCTTGAGTTTGCTGTTCACATCATCCACAAATGGGGTGATTAAATTGAGGGGACAATTTCAGCACAGCATAAGGTGGACAAGAAAAAAAGCAATCTAGTAGAGATACTTGCATGAAGAAAATATCTGTCTTCTTTAGATTTCTGGTAGAACTCTCAGTATTCTGTCCCTCTCCTCCTCTCTGCCTCAATTCTATCTGTTCATCAATACATCAGATGGCAAATGTAACATCTCCTTGATGGCTCTTCCTATTACTTTTCATTGACCTATGACCTATAATGTCCCCATTTGCTTCAAGTACTTTTATTTATGCCATACCTTGGGTCTATACATTTTGATCAAAGAGCCTATATCCTTTACAAAGAGCCTATGGAGAATGCTCAGCAAGAACCTCCAGTGCACAGGGTAGGCAGTCACCCAATATATGAGATTGTGACAAGGTATAATGTAATGGTAGTTATGTGAATCTCCAATAAACTAGTGGTACTTCACCGATTACTTGGAGAGAAAGTCTTTTAGCGTGCTTGAAGAAGTATGAAATGAATTTCATTTCCTTCTCATTTGCCTTCCTTTTGAAAGGTTTCATGCGAGATATGTGACCAACTATTACAGCAGTAATCCATCCATGACAAAGCTCAATTTTCCCTGAGAATTTACTTCTGAATGGGCTGGTGGGAAGGAAAAAACCCTGAAAGCTCAAAATTAAAGTACACTGAACAGAGCAGGCACTGAGCTGTGGACAACTGTCTGTCAGGAAAAACCAGTTTGAACAGAAATGTAAATAGGAGTTTGAGTTGATTTTTAGTGAGTTTTTAAAAGAAACCTGCACTAGTTAAAGTTTTATAGTTTTCCATTTGGAAACACAAACAGGGAGCTGTGGAAATTTACCTGTGGGTGGGCAATTTACCTCTGAGGGCAAGAAAGTACACAAGGACCATTACAGGATCAGCTATGGGGCACAACTGTGAAGAATCTTCTTTTTAAAGATCCCCTCCAAAATTCCTCAAACTTTTTTTGGCTCAGCAGAAACTGCCAGATTCAGTTCAAATTTTGTTTCAGGCAGCACATGGCTCTAAGCT